TTGCACAACATGAAAGGGAACTGTTGACTGACGAGTTTTGGCCTCATCGACCGAGAGCGAGCCGCACTGGCTGGCGGCACGGCGCTCGAGACCGTTGGACTCAGCATCGACAGGATACCTGCCGTAGAGAGAACCGTCGCGCTTGAAAGCGAGGTAGTGTCCGCGGGCTTCATCGACAGCGATATGGGTAATATCTCTGGGAAGAGCCCCAACGAGCTCGCTGAAAGGCAAAGCAGTGACGCCAGAAAGGGCAGTCAAAAGAGTGATGAACTAGAATCGGTGCGTGTTAGGACAGGTAATAATATAGGATGAGTCGGCACTCACAGCGGCAGGCGTGAACATCGTGCAGTGAAGTGCGAAGGAAAGTAAGAAGGAGTGAAAAGAAAACGAAGGTTGATGATTCTCTAGACCGCATATCAACCTGCTTTTATACGTGAAGTGCGACGTTTCATGTCTTTATCACTGGTTTCATGACCTGAGCGAGGTAAGAAGGGGACTTTCGAATTGCACACCGAGCATGTGCTACGCGCGCGCTGGGATGCGATGTGACCTTGTCTGATCGGTAAGAATGATGAGGGAAAGCTGCATTACACTGCAATAAACACATCACCACATTGACCAGAGATCAGGACATCGAACAAGGAATATTACCTACAGCAGCGTTGTAGCTGGCAACTTGCAACGAATACCGCGAGAAGCTCACCAATAACTTTCAAAATGCAATTCGTACTGTATACGGCCCACGGTTACCAAATGGTTACAGATTCCATGCGGCGCGACGATTGTCACCCCAGATCAATAACTTGCCGATCGGAATGAGTCCTATCTCGCGTCGCGAATAGCCACTTATATCGTATTGCCGATCGTGGATGCTCCACAGCGACAAAATAGCCCGAAGATCAAGCGCGACATGTCAAAGGAGAGCAACGTTCCTACGAATACAGATAAGGAAGCGATGAGAATGTTTAATGGTGGACATACGAGCGTTAGGTACGTAGGATCCATAGCTCAGCCAACTACTGCTTATAGATACATCAGACATGGCCGAGTTCTGGGAAAGGCTATTAGTCGCCACTGGAAGACTTTCGACAAACAGCCTGGAACGCACGTTCTCTCAATTTCGAACTAGAATTTGAATGCATCAGCAAAGAGTAGCGGCCGAATCTCAGTGGGAACCTTCTGGGTGATGTACGGGAAGGCTTGGCGTTCCTCCAAATCGAAAGTCAAATTGACTATGCAGTGTTCGTAGGGATTATCAATGAATTACTGTCTAGCCAAAACGAATTCAGAGTACGTCATTACTGTTTCACAAACGTTTACGCACCACTATTTTCAGACTGTTGTTGCCATCAGGGCCAAAAGGAATAAGCATGTACAGTCATAGAGGACCTCAGAAAGTAATAAACTACTATATTTTGCGAGCGCAGACAACCACGTCCCACAATATCCAGACTTTCGGATACACCAGGACAGTACTGCCTGGAAAATCTGTGCAAATCACACAAAAGCCTGGAACTTTTGGGATGGAGCATCTTTGTTGAAGTTTGTTCCATTCCGAGAATCGAGAAGACTTGAAACTGTACAGGGTCTAAAAGGAGGAGCGCTATACCGTAATAACTGAGAAGGCGTCAAGATAAGAAATTTAAAAAGCAGGGAAAGCGTTCGCACCCATAGAAACATAAATTTTCCAATGTTTCGACTACCGCCGAGAGATTGCTCTGGAACTGGCGACGACTTGAAAAGGCTCTCGACTGAGGAAAGCGACACGGAAAACCATTTTCTGAGCCCGTACTGTTAAGTAGTGTTATGGCTGCAGGTTACAGGCATTCGAGACCGAATTGAGTGTGAAGCGATCAATCTTGAATAGAGAGAAATATAGGGACACCTGGAATTCCTCAGTAACGCATTTTCCCAAGAATATGCTGGCTGGGTGTTTTCTGCTGGAGACGCGCAATTTAAGGTTTTCAGCTCTTCTTGGATATTTTGCGCTAGAGAGATTTTGAGAAACTGGGACCTTGTCTGACGTCATCGTGATTTGGACAAAGGCGTGACAGTATTCCCACGCCACAGACGTGTTCGACTATCGTGACGATTTGTCAAGCGTGACAGTATGCTCTCAGTTTACGACCACCACCTCGACCTTTATTGCCAACTATCGGCTGGTTTTTCAGCCCATGTAATGCTAGAAATTCTACCCAAAAAATTCCTGTCAACAGGTACGATGCTATATGATCGGATTCCGGGCGTCCTTTCGGCTCGGTTACTCATCAAGCCGGGCGATACTTAAATTTGACACAGCCAAATGTTGACAGCGTTCTCTTCCTAACTTCCATCATGCAGAACGCTGGCGATATGACGGCTGCGCGTGAGCGTTCTACCATCGATATTGCAGCAGTGAGGAACATGTTGCATAGTAAGCACTAACCGTCGTTCGGTATTCTGCGTTGGATGCTGATATACGATGTAGATGGCCGTGCGCGCTGGGAGCAAAAAGAGAGAATTGAAAAGATCCTCGCCAGTGACCCCGTCTTTGATAAAATGAAAAGGTAGGCTTTGCAGTACAATCTTGTTCTCTACTGAGATGAAATAGACCTTTTATTACCCGAATGGAAGCGTACAATCGTGGTCAGCGCCTCACAGATCGCATATACCAGCTCGAGCAGGACTTAGGATGGACGAAAGATGACACTGTCGTTGCTTTTTCAGTCCTAGATGACCGCCTTCCTTCGGGTCTACACAGCGATGGTGCGTCAATGTCTCCTTTGCGATTTCTTCCATGTCAATTCATGCATTCTAGCTTTTGAACCCGTCATTATTGGTCAAGGATCTCCCGTCTTTTTAGAAAAGTACGCAAGACTGGTTGCTACACGTGGCATCCTCGGGTGCTACCTGCAAACAGAGCTCGGCCACGGTTCCAATGTCGCCCAATTGGAAACGACTGCAACTTTTGTACCGGAGACGCAAGAGTTCGAGATTCACTCCCCTACTCTTACGAGTACGAAGTGGTGGATCGGGGCACTCGGGAAGACCGCCACTCATGGAGTATTACAAGCCAAGTTGATCCTTCCGGGGGGAAAGGATATGGGGCCCCATCTCTTTTTCGTGCAACTTCGATCCTTGGGTTCGTGTATCCTATCAGTTCCTTCTATCTAGGTTGCTCACTTGGCTCAATAGATGACCATAAGCTTCTTCCTGGCATCATTGCGGGTGATATAGGTACTTTTTCTTAGGGATCTATACGGTGTTCGTGCTGATACATTTTATCATCTGTCAATAGGCCCGAAGGCAATGAACGGATACAATTCTGTTGACAATGGATATGCGCGATTTGACCACTTCCGGATACCGAAGGAAAATATGCTCTCCAAGTTTGCTCAGGTGACTGAAGACGGTACTTATGTCAAACCACCTCATGCGAAACTAAGTTATGGTGGGGTAAGGATTGTCTTTAGTCGATATTGCTCTAGAACTGAGATGTCATTGTTAGATGATGTACATACGCTCCGGGTATGGTACTCAGTTTTAGATTCTAGTGTTGGCCTGATCTCTGCTTGTAGAATGATATCTCATTCAGGGTCTGCGGTAGCTCGAGGTGCGTCTGAAATATAGGGCTTCTGGGCTTTGATTGACATTAGAATAGCTATTACCATTGCAATACGATACGCTACCGTTCGTCGACAAGGGGACAAGGGGACTGATAGCCTCGAGCGTCAAGTTATCACCTATCCTTCTGTGTATGGCCGACTACTACCTATCCTTTCACGCGCATACGTATATGTTCTATTGGGCCGAAACATAGTACGCCGTCGCTTAAGTTGCCAGAACGGTTGCTAATACACCTACAGTTGAAGTCATTCAACGCCTTCTCGCGGCAGCTAGCGTCTGGAGACATGACTATGTTACCAGAAATGCATGCTATCACGAGCGGTCTCAAAGTCCTATGCACGGCGACAACTATGGAAGACGTTGAATCGGCGAGACGGTCGATGGGAGGGCATGGGTACAGTGCCTTTGCAGGAGTGGGCAAGCTCTATGCGGATTACCTTCCCAGTGTGACGTATGCTCCCCCTTTATGTTGGGGTGTACTGTGGCTGACCCATCGGCAGGTTTGAAGGAGAGAACTTTGTTCTAGACAAACAGGTTCTGCGCGCAGCGCTCAAATCCTCGAAGAGCAATGCCTCATCGCTTTCACCCTTTTCGCAGTATCTTCGCCTTCTCCACGGAGGGCAGCAACTCCCCATTCTTTCATGGCAGGACCCAGCTGAAGTCGTGCTGTTACTCGAATGGCGTGCTGCCTCCCTGGTGAGGGATGCGGCGGAGACTGATAATGACTCCGACACCAGCATCACACAACGAGTTTCGAAGGCCGTTGCCGAATCGTTTGTAGCAACGCAGGTAATAGAGATGATCGGCGCCGCAGAGAGCTCGCTGAGAGTACAGGATGCCTTGGTGCTGAAAGGACTTTTCATGCTTGTAAGCAGGCCTTCATCTTCTATTTGATGAAATTGACAGGACTTTCTGCAGTACCTCCTATCTACAGTCGAGGGATCTTTGACAGATTTCTTGACTTTCGACCTTATCAAGGGCAGCCAGGCAAAGAGCCTGCGAAGGGCAATTTCGAAGCTTTGTCAAGAGTTACTCCCGAATGCGATTGGGTTTACGGATGCGTTTGGCTTCTCAGATTGGGAGCTCGACAGGTTCGTGTTTAATTTTATTTGAACGATGATGATTAGGACTGATAGTGACATGCGCAGCGCCTTGGGTGTATACGATGGAAGAGTGTATGAGGCGCTTTGGGCCCGAGTACAGACGGAGCCTTTGAATCAGACAGAGGTACCTGAGGCATACGAGGTTGGTGGTTTACAATTCTTTCTTGAGATTTCTTCTGGTCTAATGGTTTGGAAGGACTCCATCAAACATATACTTGAGAGGGGAAGGCGGTTAGCAAAACTGTGACGCATGCTCGTAAGGATACTACTATGAATGAAATGATGCTTCAAGGGCACATGGTGTAGTTGGTTTATCACGCCCGCTTAGCATGCTCTTGGTAGTATCTGGTGCGGGAGGTGTTGGGTTCAATTCCCAATGTGTCCATTAGATTTTGCTCTTATTTTTTACGATATCATGCAAGAACCACCGTTATTGGTTGTAGAGGGTTCGCTAGTATGTCCCACAGATAAATGCGTCATGTTAAACTGTTACGGGCTATGCAGGTGGACTCTTCACCAATGGTGATTTAATCATCGCTATGATTTTCGTCTCTCATGTGTCCTAGAAATGTCGCTGACATATTGCGTAGCTGCAGGTAAGCACTTCAGTACAGGTTGTTCACTTAGCATTCTGCTGCGTTTTATTCCACGTTTTATTTGGCGTTGGTGCTATTAGTGACACGGTGTACGGAAGTGGTAGCCAAGACCAGAGGCATTGAACCGCGTCGTCAAGATGTGCAGGCATGTCTCCCAACTGCTTTACCATGAATGAGCCAATCATCGATAGTATCAAGGACATTGTATCGCTGTATCTGAGGAGGTCGACAATCGAGAGAATCCGTATGTTATTTTTGGATATAATTATGATCCGGGAGGGTGCCATGGCGGGGGAGGATTTTATGCTTTTGTGACGAAGAAGGACAGTGCGGGCATGTCGGCAGCCGGGTATCATCGTCTGGGGATCTATGTTGATGTTCAAGACATGGAAGATGAGGAACTTGGTGTTAATGAAGAGGATGTAGATGAAACAAAGTCGGAAGCTGGATCGGAATGTCACTGTCCATTGGTCTGAATATAAATCAATATGTTCGTACTGGATGGTCGGAGTTCGTAAGTAGCTATTAACACCTGGGGTTTGGACAAAGAAGGCAAAGCAAGCAAGCAAATATTCAGTAGCAGTGTGTATGCCCTATCTGGTATTACTATACCTTAAACAAGGACTCGATGTTTTCTCTGAACGTCTTTGACATTCCGTACATACTTTTGAAAGTACCAGAAACACCCGAAGTGTTCTAGATAAAGCTGTACTACCAGATCCTTCTTCGTGGCTTTTACCAGTACATACATATCGCTCTAGCCATGAATCAGTATCCATATTTTGACCTATCAGCTTTACCTCGTATGAAATCCGAATCTCCTACTCAGTTACACTTAGTGTTCGTCAATATTATTTCCACCATGAATTCCTTCATCGGTGAAAAAAAAACTCGACTATATTTCGAACACGCAGGGAAGTGCGAGTCGCTACAGTACTCGTCGTATTCATAAGTGTGTGTGTATTACTAGTGTGCAATATTGGGCATCGAAGGATAAATAACGTTATATAGATAACCAAATAGAAATAGACAGAAATTGCGGCGTTCCGCTTAAGCTGCACGATCGCCGATTGAGACGTTAAATTCAAGCGCACTTGCCAGCATAGCTAGTTTCGGTGTTCTCGACCATAGAGCCCTTAAATGTGGCAAAGCTGGAACGGTCATCCTGGTTCGTGACAACAGATTCAATGTTGACGGCCCCTGGAAGTAACGGTAGGTCAGATCACGCAAAATGATGGGAGACAATACGAACATTTGTAGTGACCCTCTGTCTTATCGTTGTAGTTGAACCAGATCCAGCCTGTAGCGAGATAGCGGATTTTCCCAGTCGCTTGAATGTTGCAAGTCTTGGTGCTAGTCTGAGATGACAGTCAATCAACTGGAAATCACGAGCCACAGACAACTGACCGTAGCGGTACAAGTCTTGCCCTCTGGAGCAGTAATTTTCAGAGTGACCTTGCTCACGTCGTTGTAGGACACGTCGAAGCTAATGTCTTGTCTAAGCATACGCGTTCCAGCGTCGAAAAAAGTATAACGTACGTGCTTGAAGTGGTATCCGTAACCTCAGTAGAGATAGTCAACGCATCAGTGACCTCGGCTACCTCTGGAATGCCCACTTTGACCGTCATCGTATTGGAAACACCGATCGTCGATGCGGCTAAATATAAGATAGATTAACAAAGGAGATACTTGGGGAGATATCCGAAGACATACAGCTAACGGTGTATGAGGTATCGGTGTTAAAGCCTTGATCCACTTCGATATCAACTTCGCCGGACGTGCCAACCAGGGTGCCTGCAGAGGAGGTCGTGTGCGTCTGGCAAACCGGGTCACCTGCCTTCGTGTTAAAATGAAATCATAGGTACTATAACTGCGAACGAACCGGAGAAGCTGAGTTGAACAACATCGTCAGTTATACAAACTTGTGCAGGACGGTCAACATACTAAACAAAAAGAAGATCAGATCATTGATTCCATGAGCAGAAATTAAATCTCTTACATCTTCCGGGTTCGTGACGATGTTGCGGGAGCCATCGCCCCAGTTGTCGTTAGCGTAGTTCTCAATAGCATCCCATCCAGAAACTGAGCATGGCCCGTTTAGCATCGGATAGATGAAGCAAAGAACTAACTTACTAGTTTTGGCTTCGTCGACGGAAAGCTGCGAACATTGGCTAGCAGCACGACGATCGACGTTGTTGGACTGGGAATCTACAGGATATCTCCCATAGAGAGAGCCGTCACGCTTGAAGGCGAGGTAGTGGCCTCTTGCCTCGTCGACCGCAATGTGGGCGATATCTCTAGGAAGGGACCGGACGACCTCGCTGAAAGGCAAGGCAGCGGCGCCAGAGAGGGCGGTCAAACACACAATCCACTACAAACGTATCAGCAGAGCCAGAAATAAACGACAGGTTCGTGCTCACAGAAGCGGTACCGAACATCGTTTAGTTGGGAGATGGAAAGGATAGTAGAAAGAAAAGAGGGAAATTTCGCTCAAGCAAAGGAAGCAAGAATCGAAAAGAGAAAGAGAATGAGGGCTGATAATCTTCTCTTACATGAGTTGGCATGCTTTTATACAAGATGCTACGTTCCGTTATATCAACAATGGTTACAAGCCAGCAAATTACTCACTTGGCCATATGTTTCGGAGCAGCGTATGTATCTATACAGTGCATGGAGTTTGGATTGTCAGGATACGTTTCGGATTGCCATGATTCTCAAAGCGGTTCATTGAGAAGGAATGCTGCACAGCCCATCGCGTTGATACATGATGCGCAAGACGAAAATCATCCGCGGAAGCAATCTCGACCGCCGAGCGCCGAGCACGGCAACGGCCACCGCCATTGCATCACGACAATATTCCAGCCACTAGCGACGCATAGTCAACCATTCGTAGTCTTTTATTATGGACACACGATAGAAAGCTAATGTCAAAGAGGGAAAAGGTCTTCCAACAGGAAATTGCTTTCTGCGCCCGGGGTAAGAGCCAAGGAATGTCTTCAAATTATGAAGAGGAACCTGGAACATAGGTACGTTTTCGTCAAACGCGATTCAGCTTGTAGCCAGGCTTGGCATTGTTACCGCAGAATCAAGGAGGGTTGGATTGCACAGAGTCATCATGGCATCAATTGACAATGATTGAACCTGTCTCGCCGAAACAAGTTTGAACAGACTCAAAGTCAGTACAGAGCACACCACATGCATATCATGGAATGTAGCGCACTTTCCGAATCGTACTTGTCGACTTCGTGTTGAACTAGACACATGCTAGCAGACTTGGTCCCGACTCGATTACTTATACTGTATGCTGCCGTAGCGGACTTTTTCGTTTATCCGATCTCCTATACTTCACCTACCCATATATATACACCTGTAGATAGATCCGTACCCTCAGTCGTTTCACCTCTACTGTGCCGACTGAGGTACGTTTACTTTCTCTTATACCTATATACTTTTTACTTACTTACTCTCGTAGTTCTTACTACGATTGTTCTTTTACTCTACTTCGCAATTGCTTGGTCGAGATTGGAGCACTTCGCTTCCCCCAACGTGTTGTCAAGGAAAAGAGTGGCCGGTGCCGGGAAGTCGGCCAGTTGGCCGATTTCTCACGCCACAGACGCGTTGAGTTCATACCGTCGTCGTTAAATAAATGAAAGAAAACGAAACAATATTTTCGTGTATGTGCTTTCTTGACACCGATTTTGTTTCCCCGATATGCCTTTCGTCGACTTTGAAGATGTCAGATTTAAAGAAAGAGGACATCGTGATTCGGCCCTAGGACCGTGTGGTAGTGCCAACTCGTAGCAACTGACTCAGAATGTCGCTGGGCCCCAGATCGAGGACCATTTTGCTATTTATTCTACATCCGTAGTTCGTTCGAATGTTTTTGTGCGGTGACTGGTTCTCTGAAGGGCGTTGGTGGATATACGAAAATACAGACTGACAACAAGGGAGATCATATGGCCAACGGTACATTGGCTTTGTCCTTCCGTCAACGTTCCTAGTAGATGAAGTTTTAGTGATAATTCCAATGTTACTTCGCCTTCAGTCTGTATGTCCTTCCAGGGCAAGTTTGTAAAACCTCCTGCCGCCTCCACTGAGTTAGTATCTCTCACTGTCGATACTAGGGCAACGAACTAGAAAATTAACAGGATTGTTCGTAGTAGTTCAAATGCTCGCACGGCCACGGTGAATTAATTACTATGAATATTTGTACGTTAGTTCTAGTGTAAAGTCGAGAGTCCATGGTAAATATACAATCTCCCAAGTCCAAGTAAGTACAACCCAACGAATAAAATAGCGCATCAGAGTATCGTTCCCATGAAGATCCCCAACAGCAGCACGAATCCAAGCCTACCCGACCCCACCTTCCACCTCTCAGCCCCATTCTTCTTCGCCGACCCTTTACTCGTGCTCCCATACGCCCCCATCGCCGCCCAATGATGCCCATTACTTGTCGCCAAAACACCCCCGGCCACCGTCGCTGTATTTGCCGTCCTCGTCTGCACCGTCGTCGGGAACGTCTGTGTCTCCACGTCCACCACCGCATCACTGCCAAGAAATACCAAAGCGAAGCCCGGAGCAGGTACATTGACTTGACACGATCCGTCGCAAGGAATGGTATGCACTTCCTCGTCGCCCATTAATCGCCCGTCAGAAGCAAAGTGGTCCCCAAATGTCTGCCCAGCCCATTTGAAGGAGCCTTTCTGGGACACAGAGTCCGCGCTGAGGTATCTATCACCGTTATCATTAGACTGGAGCTCAGAAGGCTTGCAGGTGACTCACTTGACTC